GGGATTGAAGTTCGGGTTGGGGTTAGATTGAAAAGTATGGATTCAACTTTACTTTGGCTTAGGTTAGAAGTTAGACCTTAACCAACCTGAACCCAACTTAATTTCATATTTGCATATATAAATATGTATTTATGTATGTTAAGTACTTATGTATATTATGTGTATTCATACATGTATGTATATGCAACATGATAACTATGTTGATCAACTTTCTCGTCTTTGCTTTTTGCTTTTTTGTAAGTGGGGGTTCTAAGATAAACCAGTTCTCCTTTGAGTAAATTTTTGGGCAACTTATTTAGGGATAGGGAAGTTGGCCAAACCATGTGTGACTAAATTGCTTCTGCAAGCACATAAAAGTTAGGGGTCTTTTAAAAAAAAAAAATCTATTTTACCCAATTAGAATTTCAACATGGGTAAATAAATGTATTATTTGGATAATACTTTTCCAAATAAATGCACATACCCAAATAACTTACTGCCAAAGGAACGGGGTCTTAAAGTTAGGAAATAAGTACAAAAAAGGAAGTAGAAAAGTCAGGCAAACCCAAACTCGACCTGAACCCAACCTGAAGTAGGGTTGGGGGTTCAACAACTCAGGTTGGGTTAAGGTGGCCTCAATCCAACGTAATCCGATCCCATTTGCACCCCCTACTTGGCACTTGTGATAAGGTGAATAATTTGGGCCAGACCATGTGATGTTATAGATGCCATGTGTGTACGTGCACAGGTGTAGGGGTGAGCATTTGATTTATTCGGTTAAAAACCAAATTGAATAAACTAAAATTTAAAAAACTGAACTAAAAAATAAAAACGAAGTGAAATTGAAATATAGAAAAACTGAAAATCGAAATTAAGATTTTTGGTTCGGTTTTTGACAAGGTTCAAAGTATCGACACGTATCGGCCCAATATCGGCCGATACATATCGTACCGGGAGCACCCCGATACGCCCCTACAGAGGATGTATCGGGGTTCTGACCGGCCCCCCTGAACCAGTTTTGAAAAAAAATATAAGAATATAAAAAAAGGACTGATATTGCCCGATATGCCCCTACTGGCGTATTGGGCATATCGATATTTAGAAACTTGGTTTTCGGTTATTTCGATTAAAACTGAATTTTATAAATATATACTTTATTATATATATTATATATTGTAAAATCAAATTTTACTATATTATATATTAATTTATAAATATATAATACATTATATGCTATATGTTAGATATTATACACTATATATTACATATCATATATTATATATTACAACACGTGTGTGTTGTGTAATATATTATGCGTCTGGCTGAACTAGAAATGATGACCCCTATAGTTGGAGTTGTGGACATATGCAAGACTTTCGGTGTGAACAAGTTGGTGATTAGTAAGGAAAGAGCAAGGTGGCAACTAGCTGGTTGGTAAGGTCTCTTATAAATTGTAGTGGAGACTTGGGATCAAATCTTATGTTGGAGAGGAGGTTATGAATTTGGAGGATGGGTTACCCCGTTAGCCCCTTGGAGAGAATAGAAAAGGAAAGAAGGGCCAAATTCGTATATGATACAAGTGCTCAGAAACTTGAAGTGTTCTTTTTCTTTAAGCCAAGATTGGCGAATTCATTAAGGAGAACTCTGAAGCTCTCCACATTGATCCTCGGCCGTGTCCTAGGCCCAAGGCTTCATTTGATATCCTGATATCCATCTCGTACTGGTATCAAATGCAATGTCGATGGAGCATGTTCAGGTAACCCAGGGCCCTCCAGAGGTGGAGGTATTATAAGAAATGAGMAAGGAAGTTTATGTTTGCCTTCTCCCATTGGTATGACCAGGGAACCAATATTACGGCTGAATGCAGAGCCATCTTATCTGCAACCACTTTTTGCAAAGCGTTGGGGGCTACATCGAGTCACTATTGAGAGTGATTCGCTCTTCATGATTGATATTCTTAATCAAAGAGTTCATCCCCTTTGGACGATCCTAAGCTGGCTTGGTTCTCTTTATGAGCTGATGAAAGATATCTCCTTTGAGTTTATTCACACTCTTCGGCAAGGAAATCACGTAGCTGATGCCTTATCAAAGCATGCGATCCAAAGTGGAACCTCTACCGTTTTTGACCATTTGTCTAATCTGCCATGCAACTGCTTCAACCTTTACTTCAATGATTTATTGTATATCATCATATCAGGATTAATTAGTTTTTTCTTTGTGATATTTTGGGTGGAGAGGATAGGCGTGTGCTACATTGTATGGGTTTTTGGGGCAAGGCGGGATAAGTCCTCTCCTTTTTTTTTTCTTTTTTATCATGATATTGTTAATAGATTTTAGGTGGCCGCCCCTCCACCTGGAGTAAACTTTATAGTTAAAAAAATTAAGGAGAACTCAGAGAAACATCAGAAGCAATACAGTCTAAGAAAATCAGGACACACAGAGACCATGAGCGGACCCCTTTGTGCTCTTAAACCAAATTTGGCAAGGAGATGCCCAACATTATTGGCATTCCTTGGGATGTAATTCACTGAGACCCGGGCGAAAGAGTGAAGCATAACTCTGCAGTCTGCAATCATATGCTGATCATATGTTGAATTTGCCACGGAGGAGATATGGAATTCTCCAACAGAGCCTAGATAATGATCTTAGTGTCCCCCTCAACAATAACTGATGAGATCCCCAGTTCTAAGCAGAATTTATAGCCTTCCAGAAGACTTCTGGCTTCTGATTCCACAGCTGACATCGGAGGGAAACCAATAGCTCGAGCATAGTAGAATCTGCCATATCAGTTCCGAATTATTAGACCAGCACCAGAATTCTGGAAATTTGCAGCGCCATCAAAATTGAGCTTTAGGCTCAGTTTGGAAGGAGTGCAAATACTAATATGTACTGTACAAATAGATATAAAATAATACAAAATACAAGGTTTTGCATTCTACATATTTGTATTTATACTCTTCCAAATGGAGCCTTAGGAAACCTTCAAGGGGCCTAGTCCAGTGCAAAGGTAGGATGTTACTGTCATTAATCGGAGCTTGTCCCCATTAAAGGCAACAGAACTCTGCAATTTGAGCTTCTGCATTAGATACCGCGCTGGAAATCTCCAAGTGACAGTTCCCAAGAGAGACCTTGAACCTAGCTTTCCACATATGCCAGAGAAAAACTGCTCCCTTAGCAAAAGTAGAAACAGAGGATGGAGAGAAGACATCATCCTGCTTAGCCCAGTCTCCAAGCCAATGCGCAAGGGAGAAACTTGAAGTGTTCTTGGGTTCGGTCCTCTCAGCCATTCTATATAGTGCCAAATAGAAATGGTTCAGAGAACCACTCTCACGACTCTGAGAGTAACATTAGCCATTCTATAGTGCCAATGAAACAAGCATTATAACAAATAGAACATAGACAGTAGCATTAGCAATTCAGCATATCTCTGTATCACCAACTTGTAGATCAGAAAATCCTTAGAAACAGTATGCCCCCTTTAACTTGTCGCAAGCTTAAAAGAATACAAAATTTTGAGTTTGCTATATGTTGGCAATTGCAATTGCAACACTGACAAAGAAAAGGCATTTATTTAAAATCATGATTTAAAGGCTCAACATGAGAAGGTTAATAAAAATTACAAAAATTAGAATATCATTAGTGAAGGCTAGGCATCTCTGCAACTGCAGTGCATATCTGCCACCACTAACGACTAACCCCCGCCACTGGGTTGGAACTTGGAACCATGCGTGGTGCATCCAGCCCCAATGGGGGTTAAAGCCACATCACATGTACGGAAAAAAAGACACATACCATGCTTTAAGCGTATTACCCTGATTTCTTAGAAACTCAAAGAGGGACAACAGATTTGAGGGCTATCACACAGTTTAGGGCGATATAGTGGTTGAAATCTTTGGAAATATTCACAGACTACACTGTGGATGACATATTGAGGAAGTGGGGTGAAATTGCAA